GGCGAGGTTGAGAAGGGGGTTGCCTGGGGTGCCTGGGTGGCTCAGTCGGTTAACCGTCCAGCCTCAGCTCAGGTCATGATCTCATGGCTGGTGGGTTCGAGTCCGGAGTCCCGAGTCTCGCGCGTCGGGCTCTGTACTGATGGCTCAGAGCCCGGAGCCCGCTTTGAATTCTGTGTCTCCCTCTCTCTCTCTGCCCCTCCCCCACTTGTGCTCTGCCTCTCTCTGTCTCTCAAAAAATAAACGTTAAAAAAAAAAAGACATGAGATCGCAAGATCACATGGCCATTCTATTTTTAATTTTTTGAGCAACCTCCCTCATGTTTTCCATTTTCCATAGCAGCTGCACTATTTTACATTCCCAGCGCGAGTTCTCCATAATTCTTTGCTGTTATGATTAGGTCAGGTGTTCTTTTAAAAATCTTTAACCCGTTGTATTATGGAAACGTTCCCACAGACTCAAAAGAATTGTCAATGTCCTCTCCCCCGTGGAGGGCAGACAGAATTTCTAATGTTAAGCCGAATGGTGTGCTGGGTGCTTGATATGCATCATACATATGGTCCTCATAACAAGTCCATGAGGTAGGTACAATTAGCGCCCTCATTTTATAGAAGAGAATCTGAGGCACAGAGGGGTTGAGTCGTGTCCCCAGAGTCACACAGCTAGCTGGGGACAACTGTGCTAGAGGTTCTGAGAAAGCATATTTCTTTAGCCACATCTCTTCACTGTCAATTTATATTCTGAATGCGTCCTCCGACTGGAATCCTTCCTGGTGATAGGTGTGAAAAAGTAAGTCATCTCTCATCGCCTTCCTTATGCCATGTTTCCTGCTCCCAGAAAAAAAAAAAAAAGTTTCATGTTTTATACAGGTTGCCAGTTCAACGGTTACAGGCAAAAACACATCCATTGAGATCCTATCTCTGTTCCGATCTCAGAAAAGAGCAGTTGAAGATCTGCACACAACAGACAATCCATTTATTATGAAACGCCCTAGCACTTTCTGTGAGATTTCTTGTAATTTTTTTTCAACGTTTATTTATTTTTGGGAGAGAGACAGAGCATGAACAGGGGAGGGGCAGAGAGAGAGGGAGACACAGAATCGGAAACAGGCTCCAGGCTCTGAGCCATCAGCCCAGAGCCTGACGCGGGGCTCGAACTCCCGGACCGCGAGATCGTGACCTGGCTGAAGTCGGACGCCCAACCGACTGCACCACCCAGGCGCCCCGAGATTTCTTGTAATTTCAATACTTGCCCGATACCAGAGTCTCCTAAACTGGAATCCTGGAGCAGTTTCTAGTGGATAGAAGTTCTCTATTGTTTGTGAAAATTAATTGCAAACTTGAACCTCATCAGGGAGAAAATAATAATGATTATCGTAAGGAAAGAAATCCTTTCTGCAATAAAAGAGTTGCTGTATGGTACATGCTTGCTATCTGCCATGTACTGTGCAGAGCCCGGACGTATGTTTTTATTCAACCCTCATAACAAACCTGTGACTTTGACCTGCAAAGACCTTTCCTTAACAGATGCTAAAACTAATTTGATCTTATTCTAAAAGCCAAGGACAGATCAGTAAATGTTTGCTTCCAATGGTACTTTTCAGATAGTACTAAAAAGAAATAGAGGGGCGCCTGGGTGGCTCAGTGGGTTGAACGTCCGACTTCAGCTCAGGTCACGATCTCGTGGTCCGTGAGTTCGAGCCCCACGTGGGGCTCTGGGCTGATGGCTCAGAGCCTGGAGCCTGCTTCCGATTCTGTGTCTCCCTCTCTCTCTGCCCCTCCCCCGTTCATGCTGTGTCTCTCTCTGTCTCAAAAATAAATAAACGTTAAAAACATTTTTTTAATAAAAATAAATAGAATAAAACAAAACAGAAAAGAACAGTGAAGGTGTAAAACATGTTTTCCCTCCTATATTGTAGTTTATTTTTGTAGGAAGGTATGGAAAAAGTAAGTCATTTATTTTTGCCTACTTATTTTTTTAATTTTTATTTTATTTATTTTTGAGAAAGAGAGAGAGAGAGAGAGGGAGAATCCCAAACAGGCTGCACGCTATCAGTGCAGAGCCCAACTCGGGGCTCAAACCCATAAACGGTGAGATCATGACCTGAGCCAAAATCAAGAGTTGGATGCTCAACTGACTGAGCCACCCAGGCACCCCTGATTCTTTGTTTGTTTGTTTTAGGGATTGTTTTTGTTGTTCCTGTTCATTAACACTATTTGGAAAATACAATTAAAGCAAAAGGAAAAATTTAAAATCACCCACAATAAGGGGCGCCTGAATGGCTCAGTCGATTGAACGTCTGAATTCGGCTCAGGTCATGATCTCACAGTCCTTGAGTTCAGCACCCCCATCGGGCTCTGTGCTGACAGCTCAGAGCCTGGAGCCTGCTTCAGATTCTGTGTCTCCCTCTCTCTGCCCCTCCCCAACTCATGCTCTGTCTCTCTGTCTCTCTCTGAAAAATAAACATTTTTTAAAAATGTTTTTTAAATCACCCACAATGACACTACTGAAAATAAGCATCACTGAAATTTTGATGCCTCTCCTTCAAAATATTATCCTTACTGGGATATAATTCAGTAAAATATTTGTGTTTTATTTTAAAGGTTAATCTAGTGAAATAAATATTTGTTTACAATTGTGTCTTTCAGATGACAATCTACCAGCTATAGGTGAGTTGATCAAAATTCTTTTATTAGAGTTTCTTTTGAAATTTGGCAATAAAATGTAAAGTCATTGAATATTATGCTTCTTCTCCTGGTGAGAAACTGTATTTTTCATGAAAAACTATTTTATGTTTTTATATATAAGATAAAGTATGGGGCGCCTGAGTGGCTCAGTCAGTTAAGGGTCCAACTCTTGATCTCAGCTCAGGCCTTGATCTCAAGGTTGTGAGTCTGAGCCCTGTACTGGGATTTGTGCTGGGCATGAAGCCTACAAAAAAAAAAAAAAAAAAAGTATATATATATATATATATAGTAAAATTTATGTTAAAAATAGTTGAGGAGGGGTACCTTAGTGGCTCAGTCAATTAAGCATGTAACTCTTGATTTCCACTCAGGTCATGATCCCACAGTTCATGGGATGGAGCCCCACCCTGCATCAGGCTCTGTGCTGGTGGCTCAGAGCCTGTTACTGGCCCAGAGCCAACTTGGAATTCTGTCTCTCCTCTCTCCCTGCGCCCCTCTCTCTCAAAAAACACATAAATAAACTTAAAAAAAATTGTTAAGGAAATGGGCTGAGCATGGAGCCTGCTTAAGATTCTCTCTCCCTCTGCCCTTCTCTGTCACTCGCATACTTTCTCTCTCTCTCTAAAATAAATGAAATGAAAAAAACCTGGTGTAATAGTTAAGGAAAAAGAAGAGGAAAGCAATTATAATATTATTGTTGATTTTACTGTTTATATTTTTGAGTTTTCATCCCATACAATTTCATAATGTGATTTCCTTTTTTGGAAAAATAGAGTCTTAATGGATGTAATGAAATAGAGAATGCCTTTTGTCACCTAAAGATGAAGTACAAATGTTTTCCTATCTGTTTCTATGCTCATCTTTGTTAATGCTTGCATGGTATTATAAAGTTTTATTTTATTTTATTTTATTTTATTTTATTTTATTTTATTTTATTTTTAATTTTTTAAGTAGGCTTCATGCTCAGCATGGAGCCCAATACAGGGCTTGAACTCAAGACCCTGAGATCAAGACCTGAGCTGAGAACAAGTGTCAGACACTTAACTGACTGAACCACCCAGGTGCCCCTAAAGTTATATTTTATTTTTAAATTCCCTTAGTGATTGGTACTTTTGGATTAATTTCTATTTGTGGAGCTATTATCAACCATGATGAAATAAACATTCTTTTGGTTTTTTTTTTAAGTCTTATTTATTCTTTTTGAGAAAGAGAGAGAATGAGCAGGGGAAGGGCAGAGAGAGAGAGAGAGAGAGAGAGAGAGAGAATCCCAAGCAGGCTTCATGCTGTCAGCACAGAGCCCAGTGTGGGGCTCAATCCCATGAAACATGAGATCATGACCAGAGCAGAAACCAAGAGTCAGATGCTTAACTGAGTGAGCCACCCAGGTGCCCCTGAAATGGACATTCTTTTTTTTTTTTTAATTTTTTTTTCAACGTTTATTTATTTTTGGGACAGAGAGAGACAGAGCATGAATGGGGGAGGGGCAGAGAGAGAGGGAGACACAGAATCGGAAACAGGCTCCAGGCTCTGAGCCATCAGCCCAGAGCCCGACGCGGGGCTCGAACTCACGGACCGCGAGATCGCT